TTTACTATGGTTTGTCCCATGACTGAAATATGAACTCCCGTTCCATAGCAATTTTCAAGATGCTCCACTTCAATTGTACTTTATGTTTCTTGTAAAAAAAACAATATCAGCACCTTTATCTTTACACCACGTACAAATTTGTGCCCTCTTTGACTTTTCTCAAATTCCTTTGACATTTAAAGAAAGAAAATTACATTGAATAAAAATATCTTTATCCTCCATAACTATATATGAATATGAATATATTCATGTATTCTTTCCTCCCTATATAAGGTTCTAATACACAGGATGGCAGAAGCAGGCTCAATAATATATAAGTACTAACAAAATCAGCATACTGGTCGAGATCCCCAACTACGTAGGCAATGCAATTAACACTCACACACAGCTCACACAACACACATAATAACTTAACTAAACGAAATTGCAAGATGTATACATTCCTTTCTCGTAACTTACAGAGTAATTGTATATTACAAAGCTGGCCTACATTCTTAATTCCTGGCCAAGAGGCAGGTAATGTCTGCTCCTTGTCATTAGCATACTGTATAGTGACCTTACATAGATATTCAAATAAGTTAAATCTTGAACTGAAATGTAGTTTAGTGCAAAGCACAATATGCATCATGGCAAAAGAGGACAATGACCTGTCATTCGAACAAATTCTTTCTTGTATTAATATGATTAGGTGTTTAATACATATGTAAAAACTAAATATACATAATAAATGTTTATATAAATTGCGTTCAGAAAGAGCTCTCCTATTAATATTCTGACAAGATAAATATATATCCATCATAAAGCTATACAAACAAAAGTTATACAATATCCTACGAGAGACAGACATTATGCTGAAAAAAAGATTGTAGCAAAAGCATCCATCCTGCAACACATGCTTGCAAAACAAGTCCTTTAAGAACTCTTCTGAAACATCGAATATGGTCAATATACTTGATAAAAATTGTGTCAAGTAGTTGGAAATATAAGAACATGCATAGTGTGTATCTTTGAAATCTATCCATTTCATTTTGTCCCTTGCCTTTATACAAATATTCAAGTAGATTGAATCTTAAGCCAATCTGTGCTCTGGTGCTAAAAACTGTATGCATCATGAAAGAAGACGAAAATTGCTTTATATTTGAACAAATGAATTCTTGCATTAATGAAATTAGATGTATAACTCCTATGCATAAAGACAAGACACATAACAACTCGTTATTTGTACTATGTAATAAAACTCTCTTAAATACACAAAATAAATGTTTACTCATCATTAAGCAAAATATTATCTTACAAGAGATAAACATGTTGACAAAAAATTGTATAAAAACCATCCAACTTACAACACATGTATGCAAAATAAAAAGTCCTGTAAGAGCTTCTATGAAACATTTTTCCTCCATATGGTCAAAATACATGAATATTGGTTCAATAACTTTAATCTGTAATAAATCATGAAAATAAAATATATATAGGCATATCACTTGATAACTTGATGATATATGCTTCAAAATGAAAAAAATCTTGTTGTTTCGTACACATTGCTGCAACAAAATCACATATAATTCAAAAATAAACAAAGCGAAGCAAAAGAACATGGTGAAGATATATATATATATATTATTTCATAAAAAGAGAGTTGATGGCGCTTTTATAAGATCCAGATTAAACTTGTTTAATTCAGAAAGAAAATAAATCAAATTTTAAAATTAACTACAAAACTATATGATAAAAATGGACAAATTGAACAGTCAAATAAAGATACCCTAAAAAAAGCTAAGGAGTATTATTACAAAATACATATACTTCCAATAGCCCCTCACTAGCTTATTTTATAAAAACATTTCCTGAAGACTGTCAGAATGTTGAATGTTTATTAAATTCTAAATAAAGTGTGAAGGTTTGTTAACATTGAACGAATGTTTAAATACGCGTAAAAATATGCAAAATATTAAAACACTTGGTACTGATGAGTTTCCTTGTGAACTTTATAAATTCTTTTAAAAAATGTGGCCGTCTTTTTACTATAAACTTGTAATTATTAATTACATAGTGGTAAATATCCCTTGATCAAAGAAGAGCCATAACAAATTTTGTTCCAAAGAAAAATCAAGATCCATTGTTTTTGAAAAATTGGAAACCCATGTCTGTTTAAAAAAACTGATTTAAATTGATAGCTGAATGCATAGCACATGGTCTAAGAAGTGTATTACCTTAATTAAAAGTTGTGACCAGACTCGATTTTTTTAAAGGACGTTCTTAAAATATTCTTTTGGCTTTAGATATTTTGGGATGCGCAAAGATTCAATCAGTTTAATTTTGGCCATTACAAGAAGTGGGTTATTGATGTAGACAAATGTTCATGCACCTTTACAGCTCATTTTATGTATGTTATTACCGAAGAAACAAAAGAATTCAGCCAGCCACTCAATAGTGTCTGACAGTGAAGACTAGAGAGTAAACGGGTTTCCTTGCATAATTTTATAATAGGACACTGCTAACGTTTACATTTCGCAAATAGGACATACGTGACAAATTCATAATTCCTGCAACGCTCTACGGAATTCGACGTTGGCTGCAAATGGGAAATAGTACCTTTAACCCAACTGCATTTAATTTTTTGTAATGAAATAATGAGTAATTGGATTAAAAGTAATACACAAATTCAAGGAATTGTGATTGATGAAACACATATAACAATAAATATGTACGCTGAAGATGCAACATTTTATGTGAAAGACATTCACTCTTTGTCTAGAATTATATATATATACAGTGTACTTGAAATATTGAAAAGATATTCAGGGTTAAATATAAATCGTAATAAATCAGAATTATTAGCTCTTGGTTATTACAAAGCACACCCCCCCCCCCACATTCTAAAGGTCCATTTTATTTCTTAGACGTGCGTTTTTCAATGAACTCGACTGATTTATATGAATCAAATTTTGGGAATGTGGTCGATGAAAGACCTAACACCATTGGGAAAAATTATAATTGTAAAATCATTGTCATTTTCCAAATTATTGTTCTTTTATTAGTATTACTGAAACCCCCTGAATTATTTATTCATGAAGTTTAATCTGTGATATACTTTTTTTTCGGAATCGTAAACCAGACAAGATATCAGATCGGAAAACAGTTATAGCAGATTATATTGAAGGTGGTTTGAAAATGAAACATTTACCATCACTTATTATAGGACTTAGGATCGCATGGTTGATGAGATTGTTCAATAAAGAAAATAAAGGCAACTCGAAATGTTTTTTTGATTTGTATATGATAAAATTAGGTAATGGTTTATTTGGACTTGAAATTTAACAAGTACAGAGCAATAGACCAGTTCACGGTTAGCACATTACTGCAATGACCCCGAATATCCACAGATCTTAAAAACATGAAGAGGTCCCACTTTTTACATTTTGAAATAATCACTCCTACAGCGATGGAGGTGCTATATAAATAGCCTTTGTTTCCCCTTTTCAAAGAATACTTCCACCTGTGTATCATGGATGGCACTGAATGTGCATGAATGAATAATGTTACATAACTTTCATGAACACGTATCCAGTATTTCGTCTCCGTGTATTTAAAAATTTGTTCTGCAATGACCTTTATCTGCTCATGCTCAGACTGCAACCGTGAACTGGCTTATTGATGGAAATGAATAACTCCTTTATAAAAGAAATGTTAGTAGCCTGGAGCGACGTAACTTTTTTTGAGAACCCAAGTGAATATTTGATTCATAATCAAATTATTTAGAATAATACATGTATCAAAATAACTGGGAAGGTTGTTTTTAAGTCTGATTGGATAAATAATGGCGTAATCAAAATGAATCATTCATTACAAAAAGGATAATTTTTTTTTTTAGTTACGATAAAAATAATAATAATAGAAGATGATAACAATACTATTTCCAAATATGTCCATTTATTTATTCTATTTTCTTTATCATTCCACTATGTAAAAACGATTTATATCCGTGTTTCCGTATGAATATGTCATTGTACATTTAATACTATTTATTATCTATTTGTGTATATTATTTTTTATTGTATACTGTTCATGTGCTTATTTAATGCCAACAACTGAATTTCCAAATGGGCCAATAAAATTAATCTGAATCTGAATCTGAATGATAAATTCGTGCAAAAATACCACATTTGCTGTAATTCTGTGGAGCTGTACTCTGTTATATCCGCAATTCCTTTATAATGGAAAGATATTAATAAAAATACGCCCATTTCAAATATGAACCAGCATATGAATAAGTGAAATTTATCAAAAACCAACGCACAGACTCGCACTAATTCTTGAATAAAAGAAATGCGTAAAAACGGGATTTAACAAAATCGCAAAGACTTTCAAGAAATCAACTAAAGGGCAATTTCAAAACCCTATTATATATCCCAATAAATTCATGTTCGCTTTACCCAATTCGTCATTTTAAAGTGTAAATATTTCAAAAGGTAATGGACAATGCTAATAAAATTCCTTTAGATTTTGCAAACGTAATATTTACTTTCAAATAAATTACATTTTCTCAATTTATGTCCGAAATGGTAAAACTTTTGTTAAAGTTGAGTTAGAATTTGAGTTTGAATATGACTTTGAATATGAATTTGAATTTGAGTTTGAGTTTGAATTTGAGATTGAATATGAATTTGAATTTAAATTTGCATTCAAATTGAATTTCAGTTAGAATTTCGAATATGAATTTAAATTCGCGTTTAAATCTAGATTATTTCACTTATAAGATATTGACGAATGGGTAGAATTTTTTGAAATAAAACTATAACAAAAATAAGTCATTCATACTGATTTTTACATTCTGAATCAATATCTCATACAATTTGGATAATCATTATTTTGCATATTTAAATTGTAACGGACTAAAATTTTAACAAAAAATGTGCAAGCCTAATACATGAAATATCATCAGCCATATTCAAACAATCAATCCAAATTTCAATTGACAAAACAACCTGATTCCTTACCTTGCAGAGATGGAGCACATTGTAAAAGAAGACAAAAAAGAAAGGATAACACGAACCCTTTCAGATCGGCCATCCTTAAAACAGCACCCCGGAATGGGTATGAGCCTATAAACCTGACTGTTTAATAACGACTATGCGGCAAAATCCAAGTTGCTTGCAGTTTTTGTTTTCGGTATAGTATAGTTTACTGCTGATCGTCATGAAGGTGGCACCTGTCTGCTTCTGAAGAAAATGGCTGAATGAAGAAAGGAGGAACTAATTATGACACTAAATTGCCTCTCACATTAAGATTTAAAAAAAAAAGCTATGACGCAAATACTTGAAAAGCGTTTTATATTATTTTATGATTATACACATAGATTGCAAACGATTTGTTGACATTCAGAAGCCGATAACACTCATTCGGTTCCAACTCATCACCCCGAGGATGGAAACAGAAGCTGATTTTCTCACATAAGTATTCGCATTACGTGTGGTTAAGTTGCAATTCATCATATATATTTTCGAAAGGGAAATGTTGAGAATGAAGCGACGCGAATAGGAGATAAAAGAGGGGTTAATCATTAACATATGAAGTTAATGCTTTCTTTGTTTCAGGAGGCGCGGTAGCTCAGTTGGTGGACTGCAGTGGTCTCGTAATGCGGCGACCCGGGTTCGAAGCCAAGACGATGCGTGCTCTTTGGTAAGGCATTACCCCTCAGGTCTCTCGGAGAGGACTTAAAGCAGTCGGTCCTCTGGTTGCTTACTAACAAACATTTATGCTTTCTTAGGGTTTGTGTTTGTTTTTTTGTACACATGAAATAATTGGAAATTCATGCTGTTTCTCTTCCCTTTTTTTTCGATTATTAACATATTCCCTCTGTTTGACACACACTCTTTCTTTCTCACTCCCCGTTTGCTCTCTCGCAACCCCCTCTCTCTCTCTCTCTTTCACACGTGTCACAAGAGAAAAAAAGCCATTCAATATTTTTATTATTATTAGTATGAAACAAAATGTATTTTCATCATTACATCCTCATGTTTTTGTATTAATGTGTGCATTATACGTGCAGAGATTTTTTTTTTGTCTGCATGCATATACACCATTGTCTTATCGTGTACATATTTCAAGGTGTAGTCACCTTTCATAAAACAAAAGTTGCACGGTCATCCGGATACTTTTGCTCAAAGCACAATATGTGCTGACTATTCTGTTTGGCTCAAAACCTTTATACAAACAATAAAATGAAATAATGATGCAGTGATGCTTAAAGGTTAAAATGCTGACGCGGAAATATATCACAAGACAAGTTTTTGTACAGTTTTGCAAGCTTGGGCACTCCCTCCATGATTCTCATAAAAATATCAAATTTCGATTTTTTTTAAAATTTTTTTTTAGTACAAGAATATTCAAATAGGAATTCATGCTCTATTGGCCGCTAGGGTAGATATGTTGATAAAAGACCATTGATATTAGGGACTTTTAGATTTGCAAAACGACAACGTGGATTGCTACGATCGACGTCCTTTTAATGCACTGCCTTGAATGGACGTCACACGTATCAGTCCACGCAAATCTAAAAGTCCCTATTTACTCGCAGTGAACTTGTGTTCTTAAGGAAGGTAGGATTGGGTACCTGATTAAAGATGCAAACAAAATTGTGGTTTGGATTAAAATGGCTGGAATGCTCCCTATGGAGTGGAGAGTGTGTAGAATAAATTTAGAAATGTAAGTGTCATCCAGGTGACCAGTGTAATACCATGGTCCTACTAGACATGCTTTGAATAGTTAAAAAGATTCTGAAAAAGAAAAGTTGTAAAAAGGAAAACTAAGAATTGCAACAGACTCATGCCTTTTGAATGTTTGTATATATGCAAATTCTAGTTTATTGTGTTCTTTCCATCTTCCAACAAGGCGATGTGGTCTAGTGGATAAGTTACTCGACTGCAGATCACAAGGTAAGGGGTTAAAATCCTAGCCCACCACTAACGTCCTTTGACAAGGCGTTAATCTACATTTAGGGAAGGGGGGGGGTCATATCAAATGACCCCCCATGTTTTGTCAAAAAAGAAGTGGACCACCCATTTTGCCTCCCCCCATTTATTTTTTGCACCTGGAAATGTGAAAAATCGGTCTTAGTTGCACACTACATCGTTCAAGATCGCAATGTAATTCTATGCATACAGGATTTCACAGATGGAGTGGTCGTTGATGGGGAGGAGGTCATTATGCTGATGTTTATGATAAGTAATGCATAATGTATCTGATCATTTGCTAAAATTCTGTATTTTTGCTATCAAAGGATGAAGAAATGATTTCGAGGAGTTTTAAGTTATTAGCGTTCACAATCAGACAATAGGCAATTTTCGCAAACTCATTGCGGAATTAGAATCTGCCGTTCGTGTGCAAAATCGAGAAGATACTATAGTAACAGTTGGATGACCGCTGAGGCCCTGAAATCTAGAACGGGTTTTGGCCAAATCTACGGGCGTTCTCAATGACGCCCCAAGTGAATCAAGTGCCTCGATACAAACTATTTCATTCACCTGATAATAATAATAGTATTTAAATAGACAGAATCCAATCTGTATACATTATTTGTTGCCACACTTAATACACGCAGTTTGCATTCTGACTATTGCGAATCCTAGACAGGTGAATGAAATAATTTGTATTGAGGAACTTTACAAAGACGTATGTATTAAATTTGTTTACATTACGGAAATGGCCTGTTCCCTTCCACGCAATACAGTACAGACGGGACTACACGACTAGCGCAACTTGTCTCGACCTAGCCACAAAACGTTTTTTTTAAAATCAAATCTCAATAATTGATCATCAAGTATTAAAATAATTCATGTTATATCAATATTCATGTTGTTATTGTTCAGAAACAATAATCGGAACAAAAAACAAAACTCACCGAAGAGTCATTCGTGTCAGGGGCGGATCTAGGGGGTTAGGAGGTTTAAATCCCCCTTGGGCTGGCCAAGGTGCTTTCTACCCCCCCCCCCCCCCGAAATATTGGTTGGCACTTTTTTCAAATTGAAAACAAATGTTAGTTCTCCCTACCCCCCACTAAGCGAAATATTGGTCGGCGCGATTTTTCAAATGTCAACCCCCCCCCCCCGCCCACACCATAGAAAAGAAGCTAGATCCGCCCGTTAAAATTCGTCATCCTTCGTTATTAGACGACGAAATTCTCATAACCATCTTTGGTACAAGCTCGCTGATTGGCTGTTTATTCACTTGGGGCGTCATTGAGAACGCCCGTAGATTTGGCCAAAACCCGTTCCGGATTTCAGTACCTCAGCGATCAACCTGCTGTTACTATAGTAGCTTCTCGATTTTGCACACGAACCGCAAATTCTCTGTCCGCAATGAGCTTGCGAAATACCCCTAATGTTTGTCGAACTGGCAACAACTAATGTATGCAGTTTGGATTCTGTCTATTGAAATACTATTATCCTTAACAAGTGAAAGATATATTTTGTATCGAGGCACTTCACAAAGACGTATGCATTAAATTTGGTTACACTACGAAAATTGCCTAATGGCATTGCAAATGCAATACCTCCGTAGAGATACGTACGCATTCACCGAAAAGCGAAACCACGTATTGTATCGAGGGCGGTCTGTGTGCGACGGCCGTAAACCTGAGTGCTCTGCGTCCGCGAAAGTCTGTATGTTGCTGAACGAAAACTCGCTAATATGTCGATACGGTCAGAGAATGATAGAAACTATGAAATGAAAATGTCTAGAAATGTTATCATGCGTCCATTTGCGCCTTTCCGTTGGGCGTTTAGTTGAATCAACTCTCATCATAATGAAATAGCGGTAATTGTCATGATGCCGTCCTTTTTTCACAAATACATTAATATCGCCTCTCACATCACGATATAAAAAAGCGATGACGCAAATACTTGAAAAGCGTTTTATATTACTTTATGATTATGCCCATAGATTGCGAACGTTTTGTTGACATTCAGAAGCCGATATCATTCATTCCGTTCCGTTTTATCAGCCCGAGGATGGAAACAGAAGCTGAATTTCTCACATAACTATTAGCATTTCGGGTGGTTATCATGTTGCAACTAATATGTTGAGAATGAGAGGCGAGGCGAATAAGAGATAAAACGATGATTTCTTTTATTACCAATGTCTGTGTTTGCTTTATGTATACGTGCACATAGAGGGCATGCTGGAGCTGTTCGTTTTATTTTCGGTCATTGACATTGTCAAGTAGCGAGTTGTGTGTTGTATTGGGCATTACTTGCACGCATGCGCATCGTTGACTTGGCATTAAACATGGAGTTGGACGTCAATATGATGGTCTAAATGTCTCTTGCTTACTGCGTCCTTTCACCAACCCACAAACCTAAAACAATTTTGGCGACGAGGAACGGAATATGTATGGAACACATATTGCTCCGATTGTCTCATTTTCGCTCGCGTGAACATTGCCAGCACAAACCACTGACCTCTACCTCCTGAACGGATCATCGCACATTCCCATTCACTATACGTTACGTACTAAAAGGCTGTATTGTCTGACCGTTCATGAATATTCATGTTTTTGCTATACTCGGCAAAATGTTTGCTTTTACTAAATGGAAAAATTACGGTGGGGGGTTGGATGAAATGGACAAAATGAAATAGGCAGAAGTGATCTATGATAATTCATGCGTTTTATGTTTCGTGTGCTCGACCTATAATCTTCAAATCGCTTGGTAAACTGAGTCCAAAGTTAGACTTGTTTCACATGTGTATTATAGGCAATGGCGAGCTTGCAACCTATTTTGAAAAAATACGGTGGGTGAACTTTCAAAAGTCAATGAGACATGAGGGCTCAAATGAAAGAGCTAGTGATAACGTACGTCGGGGTGGATGTGCTTTTCGTTTAAACAAAAAATGAATTTTTAACGATTAAAAAAAAAAAAACGTCCATAGGCTAACATGTATAGGCTGCTGACGCTGACCATGCTCTGACGATAGGGGGCGTCGTGAAATGAGACTAAACGGAGCCATATGACTGGAAAAAAAGTAGATGAGTATGGATATTGAATGCACAACACAGCCATAGCCTACTCATAGTCATAGTGGTTGTGATCCTGTCAGAGTAATGCAATCATCAGTCCACTCCCAGCTAGCTATGTAAAGTGGTGTATGGACGCTTTGCATTGTGAAAGCTGCCAGCCAATAAAGCAGCCCGACGTGCAATAGTCATAGTTTGTTTAGCAGATGTAGCTCATCTGTTATAAGCCCAGCGATCCAGGACCAGCAAAAAGCCCTGCCAGAC